AGACCCTGGACAAGATATTCAGGGTGATGCTGTGCACGAATCCGCAAAAGTTGATGTTTGCGACTTACATGCTGGAGGGCGACGCTCATGAGTGGTGGACGAACACTTCTTAAGCTTATGAGATGCAGGGTCATGTCATGACATGGCCATTCTTTGAGGATTGCTTTCTTGGAAGATGCTTCCCATATGATGCACAGGAGAGGAAGCATGGGGAGTTTGACAAACTGGTGCAGTGCTCGATGTCAGTCGACGAGTATTTGGTTAAGTTCAATAAATTAGTCAAGTTTGCACATTTTCAGATTGCTATGCCGACCCCTACATATTTTGTTGCTAAGTTTCGGAGGGGACTTAATGAGGAGATTGCCGATCATATTGCGGGTGTTGCATCTAGAAACTTTGGTGCACTGGTACAGTAGTGTAGGGACATTGAGGATGTCTGTATTGTGAGCAAGGCCAAGAGGGCCAAGATTGCGGAGGTAAAAGGAACTGGTAGTTCCACTTCGGAAAGGACAGGAAGTTTGCTGGTAAAGGGAAAGGAAAGCAGTTGGCTGCTAGGCAGGCGCCTAGCCAGTTCAACAGGACTTCTACACAGGGGAGTGCAGCTAGACCTCATACTCCTAGATGCTCGGGATGTGGGAAATTCCATGTGGGGCTATGTGCTACCGGCCAGTTGATCTGTTTTCAGTGTGGCCAAGCGGGCCACTACTCTAGAGATTGTCCATCGTCGACGATGAGAGCTGCAGCAGTTCAGGCAGTGCCATTGCAGATGATACCTACTGCACCTACAGCGGCACCTGCAATGCCACCTACCACTGGTCGTGTTTACTCTCTGGATCGGCAGTAGTCGGACCGAGCTCCGAACCTTGTTAGAGGTACTGTTTCCATTGGTGGAATTGCTGTTGATGTATTGTTTGATATTGGGGCGACTAATTCTTTCATCACGACCCCGATTGCTGTGGGGCTTGAGTTGCCCATGTCTGTGCTTTCTCCACCATTGCGGGTGACTACCGCCACCGGAGAAAAGTGTGATACTTTGTTTGTACATCGCGATATCATGTTTCAGTGGGATGGTCATGAGTACTTGGTAGATCTGATTGGATTGTCGATGGCTAATCTGGAGATCATCCTGGGCATGGACTGGTTGTCCAAGAATTGTGTGATGATTGACTGTTGTGCTAAGAAAGTGATGATGTCTCCGTGTGATCCCACTGCCAGTTCTTCTCCTTATATATCAGTGTTGCAGGCTAGGAGAGCCTTGAGAGCAGGGGCATTTGGTTATGTCATATTGAGAGGTTTGGTGAGTGGGACACAGAAGGATATTACCGGCATTCATGTGGTGAGGAAATTCCTCGAGTTGTTTCATGAGGAGATTCTTGAGTTTCCACCACAGCGGGAGATAGAGTTCTCCATTGATTTGTTGCCTGGTGTGGGGCCTATTTCATTAGCTCCATATCGAATGTCTCCACCAGAGCTAGCAGAGCTGAAAAAGCACATTGAGGATCTTTCAGCGAAAGACTTCATTCGACCTAGCGTGTCTCCATGGGGAGCACTTGTCATTTTTGTGAAAAAGAAAGATGGGACTATGCGATTGTGCACCGACTACAGACAGTTGAACAAGGTGACAATCAAGAACAAGTATCCCCTTCCTCGTATTGATGATCTCTTGGATCAACTTAGGGTTGCTTGCATGTAATCGAAGATTGATCTCCGATCCGGATACCATCAGATTCGGGTCAAGCTGGAGGATGTCCCCAAGACCGCATCCCGTTTGAGATACGGTCATTATGATTATTTGGTGATCCCGTTTGGACTCACCAATGCACCGGCAGTGTTCATGGATTACATGAACCAGATTTTTCAGCCCTATCTGGACCGCTTTGTGATCGTCTTCATTGACGATATTATAATATACTCTAAGACGGAGGAAGATCATGCAGAGCACTTGAGGATTGTATTGCAAGTGCTGAGGGAGAAAAAGCTTTATGCAGAAGTCCGTGAAGTCCGTGAAGTTTTTGGGGCATATGATTCCTGTAGAAGGAGTTGCAGTGGATCCCTGTTGGGTGGTTTGCTGTTAGTGAAAAAATATACATTCTGATGGAGGACGTTCCTCTATTCTAAATTAGCAAGAGAAAACAGATTTGTTCCCTTACTTCCAACCCAAGTGTGCAAGTGCACGCATCAAGTAATAATGAGTGTATTAATGCCCAGATTATCGTTCCCACGAGGATAGAACTCTAAATAATGCCTTAAACTAGTTTATAAAGAATGAAAATGAGAAGAAAAGTTAGTGATTGAACTGTCTGGTCAAACGTTCCTTACTGCCTTGACAACGTTCCTCAAGAACAGTAACTTCGCGTCGTTATATATGTGATCCTTCTTGATGAGAGAAGGCACGACAATAGTCATTGGAGTGTGATAGATACAATGGTTAAATAGATTAAAATAACATAGTAATAACTATACTTAAGAGACAACAAGGCGGATGGTTTTAAAACAATTTTAACACAAGGAACAGATTTACTACTCCATTCTTAAATAGTTATTTTCTCTACTCAAGACTTAACACTTTTTGGCTTTGTCCCAGTTTCTTAACTGCTAACTATGATTCCTTAGCTCATGGACTAGATGGCTCACAAGTTTCCATATTCCTATGGCTCCCTTGACTCCAACAGATACTTGGTACAGAACCTTAAAATTGACGAAGTGGCCCCTTATTCCTAAGGTGGCCAATAGTGTCGTTGCCAAAACACTACCTTCTCCCACTGGCTAAGCCGTCTGAAATCCCTTCCTTAAGGAAGTTCCTTTCTCAGTATGTATTCAATTTCCATTGATACATAATGAATATAACTTACTTAGCCAAAGAAATACAAAAAGCTTCAGTACAAAAGTTTTGAAATCAATTCTTTAAGAAATTTGCAGCTTATCTGTTCCCACAGATAGTTTAGCCTATGGCTGTTACTTCAAACATAATTATTCTAAACTGAACTCCCATAGACCCGAGATTCAGTTCAGAGATAACGAGTGGAAAGGAAAGAAAGAACACTTATATTGAAATGAAACAAGAAAGATTACAACAAAATATAAAGTGGAGAAGATGGTGGATGCTCGTGAGGAGTCTCAAGTGAATGTTACAGAATAAAGGAGAAGTGTTGTCACTTAACTATAGCTACAACTATACAAAATTAAACTACAAGCTAACTAATACTAAGTGATCTCTCCTTAAGGAATTCGCTCCCTTCGAAATTCGATGATGTCTTCGTGTTTGGGACGTCCTATTTATAGGCAGAAGAGTGAGTGACAATCTTGTAAAATTCCTTGGAGTTGATTTCTTGACTGTATGGGCGGGGCGGTGGCAACAGTGTTTGGAAGCTTGCAACTTGCTGGATGGGACAATTTTTGTTGAGATTTTCCATTTCTTGCAATCACCCATGTCTTGCCTTCTTCTCAGCCAATGATAACTCTTTATTCCCTACTGTACATGTTTCTTCGTGCTTAATTGATGCACTGCCTCTGCTTTACGGAAACTTCATTTTAAAGTTTTCTGCAAAGTGATCAGAAGCATTAAATGAGTGGAGCAGTTGCAATAAATGCTCTCAATCCGTTCCCCTTTTAATATTTTTTCCAAAGGGTTTCGTCATCATCCATTCCCCCACTGTGTTTTTGTCACAAAGATGTAAAACAAGTGATTTTCATGCTGAAGTTGCTCATCAGATGAGGGAACATATGGTATTTTGCCATCAAAATGGGCTTAGATGGGAACAAATTTACGTCCCATCAAACACCCCAAAACTAAACTGTTGGTTGTCCTCAAAAAACTCAGAAATAATGGTTTAGGCTGCTCAATTTCAAAGAATAGCTCAACATCAAAAACTTGTGCCAGTGAGCAATCATAATCTATTAAAAAAATGAAGTACTTTCCACAGTTGTCAAGTAGAAAGAATTTGTTCCAAGGTAAGTGAAGGTTGTTGATCTTCTGTCTCACTATCACTCTGGGCTTGGTGTTTCTTTGTCCGATCCTAGATGTGATTCTTCAGAACTTGCCTTTCTGCTGCTTTCCTATGAAGTGCAGATGTCTTCCCTTCCAAGGATCTTTTGAGAGGAAGGTTTATGGGGGTGTGGAAGAATGGTGTTCAGACTTATAGGGCCACGAAACGTTCATTTCTGTGCTTTTGAACTGGACTTTTCCTGGTTGAGGGAACACCTTGTCTTTTTGTACCTTTTCTTTCCTTGAAGGAAGGTTTTCTGGTATATTTTTCTGAATTCTTTTGAATGGCTGTTCCCGTATTCTTTGTTTTCCTTCTTCTGTCCTTTTGTTCATTTTGGATCTGTTCCTTGCCCCTTTTTGGTTGACTGGTGATGTGTTGGTGATTATTGATGGAATTGAAGTGTTTGTTTGAATGGAAAGGAGTGAGTGTTTGGTTGGTTGATCCTTGTTAGTGAAATCCATCTGTTCTTCAGTAGTTCTCACAACATAAAGGCAAGTTTAGAAGTTTCGTTGTGGTTACACCTCAGGAACGCTCTCATTAGTAAGTGTTTGGCCTTTTTTTTCGTTCCTTACCAGCTTTAGTTCACACAGATCAGCATCCCACAAAAATCTGAAGATTAAATTCTCTCCATTTTTCCTATTTCAAGTATTCAAAGAAAGAATAAGAATGATTAATCATTGACTTTGTGTTTCATGTCATTGGCTATTCAAAATTGTACAACCATAATACTATAACTAAAATGTATGTACCAAGCAGTTTGAACAAAAAGATTTTGCATATTTTTTTTTGGGATTGTGTGGTTAGTGAACCACCCCAAAACTACGTTCCTGGAACGGAACGTATGTTATTTGGACTTTGGAGTTGAACACCAAATGTTCCCTCCATTTGGGAGCTATGTGGTTAAGGTTAACCACCCCAAAACTTTGCTTTTTGTTAGAGAGCAAATGCATCCACTGGGTTGCCTCCCAGTCAGCGCTTAGTTTAATGTCTTTAGCTAGACATGGTACTTACCTTTCAGCTGGACTCAGAAAGAGGGATACTCTCCTCTTTTTCATTGAAGGTTTCATCAGTGTATAGCTTCAACCTGTGCCCATTAACTTTGAAAGAACGGCCACGTTCAGATCCTTGAATCTCAAAAGCTCCATTCCCTGCATCATTTATAATTTGGTATGACCCAGTCCATCTTGATTTGAGTTTTCCTGGGAACAGTCTGAGTTTGGAATTGAAAAGCAACACTTTCTGGCCAATTTTTAGATCTATGTTCCTGATCCTTTTATCGTGCCACTTCTTCATTTTTTCTTTTTATAACTTTTGATTCTCATACGTGTTCCCTCTGAATTCTTCTAACTCTTCAAGTTGTAGCAGTCTCTTTTCTCCTGCTGCCTTCTCATCCGTGTTGAGAGCATAAACTGCCCAGTACGCTTTGTGTTCTAGTTCGAGAGGAAGGTGGCATGCTTTGCCAAATATTATTATATATGGGGAACATTCAAAGGGTGTTCTGTAAGCCCATAATGCTTCATCTAACTTGAGAGACCAGTCTCTTCGAGAAGGGTAGACTACCTTCTCCAAAATCCTCTTAACCTCTCGGTTAGAGACTTTAATGAGACCACTGGTCTGTGGATGATATGGGGTTGCAACCTTGTGTTTAACTCCATATTTTTCCAACAATCTCTCAAGTTGGCGGTTAATGAAATGTTTCCCATCATCGCTGATGAGACAACGAGGGGTCCCATATTTGGTTAAAATGTTTTTCTTTAGAAATTTTATAACCACCTTAGCATCATTAGTGGGTAAAGCTACCGCTTCCACCCACTTGTTTACATAATCAACAACCATTAATATGAATTTGTTCCCACAAGAAGGAGGAAAAGGTCCCATAAAATCAATGCCTCAAACATCAAATAATTCAACTTCTAAAATGGGATTAAGGGGCATTTCATTTTGTTTGGTTAAGTTACCTTCCCTTTGACATTTATCACATTGTTTAGCATATTGAAGTGCGTCTTTAAAAAGGAAAGGCCAGTAAAAACCTGATTGAAGAACCTTGGATGCAGTCCTTATTCCACCCAAATGGCTTCCGTATGGGGATGAATGACAGTGTAGAAGGATTTGGGGTTGTTCCTCTTCTGGAACATATCTCCTTATCATATGATCTACGCATCTTTTGAATAATAATGGTTCATCCCAGAGATAGTTCCTGCAATCATGAAAAAATTTCTTCTTCTGCATCCTGTTTGCTTCATATGGTTCCAGTCCTGTTGCAAGGGAGTTGGCTATATCAGCAAACCAAGGAACGTCCGCTTCTGTGTGATTGATGACAAACAATTGTTCTTCAGGGAACGTTTCCTTGATTGGTAGTCCTACTCCAATGTGTTCTAATCTGGATAGGTGATCTGAAATTTGGTTTTCGCATCCTTTCCTTTCTTTGATCTCCAGATTGAATTATTGCAGCAGTAGTATCCATCTTATCAATCTTGGCTTTGCTTCTTTTGTGGTAAGAAGATACTTGAAAGCTGCATGGTTAGTGATATGCATTCAGCATATGGGTAAATCTAAGCCAAAAAGAGAAAGAATATGGATTAAATCTTAAGCAAAAAGGCAATAATGACTGTTGATCTGTTAAAATCTCAATCAGAGATTGCACAACTGATTTTGTGTTGATTTTGTAGGAAAAACAAACAAACTGGAGCTAAAAAAGAAAATGCAAAAACTGAAGCCCACGCTGAGAGCGTGGGAATGACGCTGATAGCTTGAAAGGAGATTTTCACGCAGAAACTACCACGCTACTAGCGTGGGACTGACGCTAGTAGCGCCAGACTTTCCATAAATCCACGCTTGCAGCGTGGTGCTCTAGTATTGTGAACAAAACTCTCACGCTCACAGCGTGGGAACGACGCTAGTAGTGTGGGAGGTGCGAAAATTCAATATTAAATCTGATCAGTATCAGCAGAAGATTAAAAGAAAGTTTTAAATGAAGATTCAATCAAGATTTCTACACTAGGTCAAAAACTCTATAAATAGAGATTCAGACCTCAAGAGGAAAAACACTTTTGCACGGAGGCAAAACACAGAGCAAGCTTCTTCTCCATTTTTCTGGTTTTATTATTTTATTTTATGAATTCTTTTCAATTCTTAGAATTGTCAGACATGAATATGTCTGGCTAGTCTTTTAATATTGTAGTAAGGGTCACAACCCTTGATGTGAACCCCTTGTAGTTTGGTTAAATTTATATTTAATTATTTCAATTGATTTATTTTATCCTGTTCTTCATCTTCTAATTCTTTAGAATTGATCACTCTATTAGGATTGCGAGGGTTAGAGTTTTCAATAGGAATATTGGGATTCTAGTTCCTGACAAGGGTAAAATAACAGTTCATGTATGCACTAGGAATAGGCTACATGAACTGCAAATGTGGAAAATTCACTGGGTTAAAAGATTAACTTGAAAAAGGATTTCTAAGGGATTAGGATTCTAATAGGGTTAATAAAGTTAAGATCACTAAGGGTTTAAGGCTTAACTAATTAATTATAGATGTTGAATTGTTTGATCAATTGGGTAATTAAATGTAAACATTAATTAATATTACAAGGTGGGGATCAGAAAGGTGTTGGCGTCCTTTGCTGCAATAGCTTTTTAAATATTTTTCTCAACTTTAATCATTTATTCTCAAGTTCTCAATATCATCTTTGAATTGTTCACAAGTCTTGAATAATTCACAATTGTCACAACACAATTATTTCAAAAACCAACTTTTTGTTAATCCAATAAGAAAAGAATAATCAAAAATAAATTCGGTGCCTCAATCCTTGTGGAGAAGATCTCTACTCACTATTTTATTACTTGGTACGATCGGTGCACTTGCCGATTTTACGCAACAAGTTTTTGGCGCCGTTGCCGGGGATTGACTACGCCTAATTATTTTTAACTTTTGAATTTCTTGATTGGATATTGTTTTGTTACTGATCTTTTTGCTGTAGTTTATGCGAGGTAAAGTAGATCGAGATTCTTTACAGTTTGATCCACAAATCGAGAAAACTGCAAAGGAGAACCGAAAGCTAGCCAAGCAAAGAAAGCAAGAAGAATCATCGAGTTCAGAACCAAAAGCAGAACCCGAGATGGCCGCAAATAATCAACCACCTCCTGCGGAGGAACTGATGGAGTCAATCTTGGCTCCAATGTTTACACAGCTGAATTCAAGCATCATCAGACCACCAGTCAACACCAATAATTTTGACATTCAGCCAAAACTGATAAACTTGGTTGAGAAAAATCCATTTGGCGGAGAAGACTATGAAGGCCCCCATGATTTCATGGACAGATTTCTGAGAATCTGTGATACAACCAAGCATAATGGGGTGTCCGACAATGCAATTAGACTCAGACTATTCCCTTTTGCTATAGCAGGGAAAGCTCTGAGATGGTTGGATAGGCAAGCTCCCAACAGCATCACAACGTGGGATGATTTGACTGCTAAATTCTTTGGAGAGAACTTCTTCAGGGAGAAGTACAACAAGTTGGTGAATGATATCACCAACTTCACTCAACATCCGGGAGAAACTTTATGTGCAGCTTGAACTAGGTTCCAAGAATTGATCAGGAAGTGTCCCCGGTACGACTTGCCGGACGGAAAGAAGGCCAGAGTTTTCTATAACGGAATGACCCCGGAATCCAGGATGGTGGTCAATGGTGCAGCTGGAGGAACCATAGCAAGGAAGACAGCAGCTGAAACTTTAGAGTTAATCGACAACATGGCAAGAGCTGATAATGCTTCAATGGAAGTTCAACCAGTTCAACCAAAGAAAGGACTTCTACAACTGGGGAGCAATGATGCTTCACTAGCTGAGCAAAAGATGATCTCATAACAGCTAGCAGTCTGAACACCAAGCTAGATAGAATGCAGATCTCATCTAAAGTTAATGTATTCAACTGTGAGTACTGCAAAGGGCCACATGAGACTAATGAGTGCCCTACATTCAATGGAGCTGAACCATTCCAAGTCAATGGAGTGTGGTATGATCCAAGGCCACCACAGGATACCCAAAGTTACCAGAGAAATCAGAATGGAGGCCAAGGGAACAACTTTCAAAGGAGGAATCAAGGGAGTGGCTTGGATTATAAATCCAACAACTATCTGCAACCTTCTCCTCTGCCACAAAAAGAGCCATCCGAATTAGAGAAAGCAATGATACAACTGGCCAAAACTTTTAATGATCACATAAATGAGACATGAGCCTACCACAAGAACCAGGATGCTTCCATCAGAAACTTGGAGAGTCAAATAGGCCAGTTGTCTAGGCAGTTGGCTGAGAGAAGTCAAGGAACAATCCCTAGTGATACCATTGTAAATCCAAGGGAGCACTGCAATGCCATCACTACTAAAAGTGAGAAGCTAGAAAAAGAGAAAGTTGAAGTTTCTACAGACAAGAATGAGCACATCCAAGAAGGCAAAGAAAAAGCAAAAGAGCAACCTCCTGCAGTTCAAAAGAAGCAATGGGATTTCTCTCGTTTTGAGAAACCTCCATATCCTATGAAGCTCAAACAACATGAACAAAGGAAGCAATTTTCTACATTTTGAGATATTTTTAAGAAATTTCAAATTAACATTCCTTTTGCAGAAGCTCTGGAGCAAATGCCTTCGTATACCAAATTCTTGAAGGAGATATTATCTAAGAAGCGGAAGCTCACAGAGGATGAACCTGTCACATTAACAGAGGAGTGCAGTGTAATCCTGCAGAAAAACATGCCTCCAAAGTTGAAGGATCCAGGAAGCTTCAGTATTCCATGCACCATTGGCAAGACAACTATAGAGAGAGTCTTATGTGATCTTGGTGCCAGCGTTAATGTGATTCCATTAACTCTGATGAAGAAGCTGGGAATTGATAAAGTCAAGCCAACTAGGATGAATGTTCAACTGGCTGACCGCTCAACAAAGCAAGCACATGGTATTGTGGAAGATGTGCTAGTCAAGGTAGACAAATTTCTAATTCCTGTTGATTTTGTCATCCTCGACATTGATGAAGATGCCAGTGTGCCTATGATCTTCGGGAGGCCATTCTTAGCAACCTCAGGAGCATTAATCAATGTACCTAAGGGTGAGCTGATAATACGCGTGGATGGAGAGCAAGCAATATTCAAGGTATTCATAAATGAAGCTCCTCCATTGCCTGCTTCTCAACCTAAGAATCAAGTCAATTACATTGCGGAGAAAAAGGCCGAGGAAGGGAACAAGAAGGAAGTTCATCAGTGGCATGAAGGAAGCAAGCCAAAGGTGAAGATGGAAAAGCCCAAGAGCAAGGAAAAACATGTGAAAACTAAGTTTAAAGTTCTTGAGAACCCTCCTCCTCATCCACATGCATATGATCATAGAAGGAAACAATACTGGATCAAGAAGACTGGGTCATCGATGGTAGCATACTTCCAACCACTGTAATCATAAGGGGTACGTCAGGCTCGTGACGTTAAACAAGCGTTAATTGGGAGGCAACCCAATAGTTGTTTTTTTCTCTGTTTTTAATTTCTTTATTTTATTTGCTTAGGTTAGTTTAATTTTTTTATATAAGTCAAGTAAGTGGTGAATTAGTGACCATATGGAAAAATATTAAATCTGGGAATTGGCACTGTGAGCGCCAATTTGGCGCTAGTAGCGCCACAAGATCAAAAGAGACAGTGAGTTCCACGCTCACAGCGTGGTAACCACGCCATCAGCGTGGAAACCTCACGAAGTACTCACGCCAATAGCGTGAATTCCACGCTTCGAGCTCCATCAAACAAAATGAGGCAGTGAGTTCCACGCTCACAGCGTGAAACCCACGTTGTGAGCGCCAGTTCATTTCA